GCCTGGGTCTTATTTCCCAGATTGTGCACTCATTGCCATCTCTATTTTTTTGCATACAGAACCAGATGGAGTAGATAGAGAGATAATGAGAGACGATGATAAAATGAAAGAAACATACAGCCTATCTCTGAAAGAATGGCGCTTAGCAGCAAGGTCTATCAATTATTTATATCCTCGACAAACTATATAAAACACTCTGTAGTCATCATAATGTTGGCAGTTTATAAGCTCTCTTCAAGTAGTTTTCATTGCTTGAAATTTGTAATATCTTGGTTAAAAAAAAAAACTACAAAGTAGATTGTGATAAACCTTATGTTCATGGTAAATTAATGTTATGTTACTTTCCCATATAAGCAGAAGCATTTAGAACTTCGGAATCTCTCTTTCTTTGCAGTATCAGATACATTGGCTTAATGTTAGCCATTTATCTTCACAAGCCAATAAGTAATATTGTAAGTAATGCTGTCTCTCCTGCACCAAAACACATGGTGGTTCTTAATTGACATTCCGTCCCATGAGAAAGAAATCATCTTGTCCTAAGTCAAACCGAGTAAAGAGTCAGAGAAGACTCCATCCTTTACCACTTCAGTCCTTATGTCTCTTCTTTATCCACATACAATACACTTCAATGAAACAGATTTTAAAACAATTAAAAACTACTTTGCAACAGTAAATTACTTTCTTTTCTTTTTTTTTTTTTTCTCCAGAAAGATAAAACAGACCTTAATGGTTTACAGACTAACTACATTTATTAGAGTACATTTGAACCCCCAAAATCCAAAGGCAAACGGCTTTAACTTGTGATCTTGTACCAAGAATGCTTGCTACTAATTTTTACAGTTTAAGAGTCCTGAGAAAGTCCATGAGAGGGAAGACTGCAAACCAGAACATTTTGGTCCTAGCCATATTGCATCAGTTTTGGGTAATGTACATGAAACACATCTCAAAAGCATTTCTCTAGCAGCTATTCAACCCTGTGTTTTTGTTTTTGTTTTTGTTTTTTTCTGTTCTGATGCTGAAGAGAAAGCACTGTAACGTTTTTCAGTAACTTTTGAATACTTTTTCAATAAATGTTTTAAATAGACAACATGCAGTCATGCAACACTTTCTACAGTACAACTGACAATGTAGCAGTGGTTGTTACCCTGCAGAAGGCTTCCAGAGAAGTAGTTGATTTTTTGCATTAATCTGAAAGTCTTTTAAAAGGCCATATGCCTCTAAATACCTTTCACTTTTAAAGACAAAACTTGGAACAAATATTTTGAAGTGTCTGATTTTTAAAAGCAGTCTCAACGGAGACAGCCTGGTTGGTATATTGTACAGTCTATAATTAACGATCACCCAATTAAGAAATTAGCTGGGAGGATGACACACTCTGGCAAACCATCCCCATCAAGTGCTAAATCTGGGTTTACAGTTCACATGTGAGAAAAATTTGGGGACATGAACATTTGTTCTTTTCTGTTTCAGAACTGAGAGCTTTTGCAGACTACAAGTCATGGAGATCTACAGGATACAGATGATGCCCCCTTGAAACGTCACCCACTATAAAGCCAGCAATCTGTGAGGGGCCAGGCTGCAGGTCAGGTCACTGCACTAACTGCTAAGGTCCTTTCAATTCTGACATTGAGCATGCCTGTAAGTACTTTCTCTGTGATTTGATCTTGTAGTCTCCCTCCAGCCCTGAGACATTTTTCCCATCTGCTCGTACAGATGGCACAATCAAGTGAATTTAAAACAATGTTTTTCCAAACTTTTCTGTTTTCTCTCTCCTTAAATTACATGGTTCTAGGCTAATAGAAGCAGGGACTATTCTAGGGATGCCTACTCAGAAGGAAATGTGTGCAAACTAAACGGCTACAGCAAATGCCTGCATTGCAGCCTAAACAGCTAACATAACAACCAAGGATAAGCATGCTTAAAAACACTCCTCTGCATTGTTTACACATATCCCTCGAGTCTGGAGAACTTATCTGGAAATATCACAAGAGCAGAATTTCTTGCAGTATCCGATTTCTCCATATCTAAGCAGGACCGCATATTGTTCCAGGAAAAGCTTCCCTCAAGTACTTTGCACATTGAGAGCAAAATGAAATTTACATTTGTGGAGGAATCTAAAAATATGTATCTAGTCCCAAGAGATACAGAAACCACCTGGACTTTTCAATTAAAAAATAACAGCCAGATTTCAGGAGTTTAGAAGATTATTTCTCAAAAACTATCTTCACCGTTCTGTAAAGCTCCGTGACAAAACAAGTTGAAACAGCAGGTAGACAAATGAGCTGTTCTCTTTCAAAGAAAAACATTTTGGAAAAAATTAAAAAAAATCCTGGAGATATAACTTACATAAACAAAGACCTCCAGTACTTGCAGCTTCTTAAAACACTTATCAGAAAAATAAAAAATCAATTCATTTAAGAAGTAGTTTCCAAAATTTTACTGTAATGCTCATCAAAATGTAAAAGAAAAATTATCTATAGAATCACAAGAACAAATCTGTGTAAGAAAGGGGAGGTAAGTTTTTTCTAATTCTAAACAAGAGACTCATTTTCCTTCCACATGCAAGGCCTTAAAGCTTCACTCTTAATACGTTATGATCCAGTCCCAACATCCATCTCAGAATTCAAATTTTGACTTTTAAAAATATGCTAATAGAAATTTATATAATCTATATCTACATACAGTCTACATATACATTACATAAACATATATCTAAGTCTATGTATAGCAACTCTAAGTACACATTTAGCATCCACCTCATTAGCTGAGGCTCTATCACAGCATTCTGCAATAAAATTTTATGAATATCTTTCCTAAACAAAAATTTCCTTTTTCAGAATCTTCAAGTATCAGCAAAACCAATTCGATAGAATACGTTACAGAAGAAAAATCAGATAGATTTATGTTGCTGTAATTCTCAGTTATGTTAAAAGTTAAATTTCAATTTAAGGTTAAGTGTTTGATGACCCTTATTTGTTTTTGGAATGCATCTATGCAATATCCTCAGAGCAACTTAAACTATTACATGGTTCTTTAGCTGATAGAGATTTTCTTGTTAATAGAGTAAATGCCACAGTTTGCCTGTTAGGCAATAAAGCTCTGAATTTTTTTCACTCGATTGCAATGTAATAATCTTGGATAATAGGGCTTTTAATGGAAAAGATTCCTGTGACTTAAAGCCTTTTTCCTATTAAGCTTAATTGAATTAATTATTCACATACTAATGATTTAACAGCTATTCATATAAAACAGAAGCAAAAGATCCTCTTGAATACTTATCCTATACTTAAGATCTCATAAAGGAACTGAAGTAAAAGATATCTTTGTTTTCTTTCGGATAGGGGAGGTATTTAAAATCCAACTACCCACTCTCCTGCTGTGGATGGAGGTGTTCTGAAGAAAAATGCATCTCCAATCTTTGAGTCCTATGTAGAAGATCCTTAAGACAGTCAGCGGTCTCCCTTTTTATTCCAAAAATTGCATCTTTCCCCAAATTGGCTCATTTTATCAATGTCTTGCCACATAGAAAAAGTGCAACAGTGATTCTAAGGGCAGCAGAGTAGATTTGTATCTATAAAACAGCTACCATCCCAAAGTGCATATCAAGGTTGACAATTTATAATTCTTCATAATAATGCTTAGCACTTACACCGCGTTTTATGAGATCAAAGCACTTCACAAACTAATTAATCTTCACAACACCCTTGTGAGAAGGTAGGTTTTACTATTCCAATTTAATAAATGGAACAACTGAGGCAGAGGAATTGTACAGTTTGTTTCATGCCACAAAGGGAGTCCTGGTCTTCAGTTTATAGATGAGAAGTAACAGAAGCACTAGTTCTGTGGTGAATTCCCTGGGACCGCCAACTGAACTATTTGCATGAGTAAAGAAAATAGAATCTGGCCCATACCTTGTTTTGTTAAAATTACAGACAATTCACTTAAGGAACTTACAAGGGAATCAAGAAGCCCAGTTCCTTTCCTTGTGTAGAATCAAATTCACTGTACAAGTGACAGAAATAAATACATACAACTGTGTGCTGCTTTCCTTTACATTAGGGAAAAAAATAATCAAGATAAAAGCGCCTCTTCCTTGACTTGAGTTACAGGCAGAGTAGAAAAATCTCACAAGAAGTAAGATAAATGTAGTAAAGAAAGCTTTTAGAATTCACATCCCCCCAAATTCACATTCTATCTTTTCCTCAACATGAAAACATCAAACCTTCTAGACTGAAGTTCTGCAGGGTTTTCGGTTGTTTTTGTTTTTGTTTTTTTTTTTTAAGCCAGTCAACATTTTCTGCTTTGTTACATACCACATCATATTAAGTCAGTCATCTTTTGCAGGAATATATATAAATCTCTCAAGGGAATTGTTTTCTTTTTTCTATGAATGCTACAAAAGAGGTTCCATTTCTCAAACCTTCAAAAGTTCTTTTGTTTATTTCTGCAGTCATTAAAAATTTATTTAATGAGTATGTAGCCATTCACTCACAAAACTAGGCTGAATGACATTTCAGGTCAAACCTTTTATCAGCAAAAATGAGAAAGCTGATTTTCATGACAGTAACATACAAACCAATTAAATGTTTAATTAACATTGTTTATAAAATATATCATTTAATTAAACAACCAATTCAGACATACATTTTCCTTTTTCTCCACCAATCCTCTCCTTATAATTGTTATTTCAACTTCTTTGAGGATGCAGTTCTAAGAACAGCGTTTAATCCAGAATGCGTATTTACAATAGTATTTATAGTCTTATGTGTTCTTAAATATTTTGGAACTGTACTAAAAATCAAAGTTTATTTATAATCCAAATTTTACATTAAAAATCTTCATCCATTCTTTAAACACTTCAAATAGTTTCTGGAATATCAGCAGTTTTACAGAACGTAGCAATACAAAGAACAGCAATAAATAAGGCAAACAAATAGGCATAAATTTGAAGCCACGATTAAAAGACTAAAAATAAGGAGTCAGAAATGGTTCGCACTGACCTTAGTCCATACAAGACCGTCCCATCTGGATGCAAGCGGATCATCCTGTTCTTCACAGTGACACCATGTACAAATGACTTCTTGTCATTCAGGAAATAGGTATCAGGAACCCATAGCTGATCAGCTACTCTATTGTCCAGAGTAAGGTTTAGAGGTATTACATTATATGACAGCCTCTTATCTCTCCATGCTTGCTGAAAGTACATTGTCAAGGTATAGTCCTGTAGTTATGAAAACAAGAAAAGATGATTTACATTAAAATAGAGGGCATAAAGACATAAGTATGCAAATTTAGCTGTTGTGATTTTGCTTCTTTCAGTTTAGAATTTCTGTAAGTAAACTTTACTGTTACTGTGCTGAAGAGCTTATACCTACTTAACAGGAATGAGAAAATATAAAAGATTGATTTTTTGTGACTGACATGGAATTTCAATATTTAAAAAAAGAATAATAGAGAAAAAAAATATTTTCAGATGGTTAACAACTTGCAATTTTATAGCACATTACAAGCCAACAAATTCTAGGAAGTAAACATTCACAGACCTAACTTTTACTTCACAGCCTCCACTGTATTCAGCAAGGTAAGATCACTGGATAAGCCCCTGCATCTTTAAAATTGCAGCTACCCATTCAAATGCTTTTCTAAATTAAAATCTCTTCAGTCTGTTAACTTTCCCCTGGGCACTGAAATCAATGGGAAGTCCCCAGTGTTTCTGTGCTAGAGTCTTATGCTTAATTTTACAGATGAAGTGACTCTGGTTACTTCAATGGGACAATTCAGAGAACGCAATTAAACATCTAGCTAAATATTTGCAGTATTAGGAGACTGCTGGCTCTCTTTTTCTCATACAGGCCACTAATAAACAGTACTAGGGAGATATTTTCATTTTTAGTGTATTGTGATGATATTTCATAAACTAATTTCTAGCACTGGATAACAGAAAATCATGTAAGATCTGAATATTTTATTGCAAAAATTGCAATACTGGCTATCAATTGTTGCTTTATATTTCATTGTCCCTTTAGCATATTTTAAAGGACTGAAAATACATTTTTATTTTAGCTGGCAAAAAAAAAAAACCCATTCAAAGACACCTATCATATCTGTATTTTATGAACATTTTCATTTTTAAAAAAATTACGATGGCATAAACTGTACACAGAATTTCTTACAAAACCAAACAGTTTAATTATTTTATTTTCCCACGTCACAGTTTTGCAATCCAAACTTTCAGAAGACCTCCAAAAATTCCCATTTACAAAATCACTGAAATATACTTAGTGAAAAAAAAAGTTTAATGTTTCCACAAGTTACCTTTTCACAGTACAGCCAAGCACTTGATAAGTAACAAACCAAGAAAAAGTTGCTTTCCTTGGTGAACGAGCACAGGCTGTAATGCAGAGATAGGCTTCAACCCACCCTCAAGCACTCAGATACACCACTCCCTCCTCTGCTTTTAGAGCACCAAGTCCTAAACTACGTACCTCAGCAACGCACCAGCAATGAAGTGAATGAAAGCCACTGTCGACCACAAATTGAAAAGGAAATCAAAATCAGATTTTTTAATTTATAATATCAATACCTGAATAACCAGAAACTTGTTTCTCCTCTCTGCGCTGATAAAACATTTTAGACCTAAACCAGTTTGGTACAATTGTTCCCTTTAAAATATACACAGTGTATCCTTAAAAATGAGTACTAGGTAAGGCCTTTGAAAACTGCACATGAATAGCTCTTTATTACAGTGGTTTTTTTTTTTTCTCTAAAGTAAAAGTAAATTCTCTAAGTAATGACACAGTACTCAGGAACTATTTAACCCTGCCTCTTCTGCAGAACACTGTGCTCTGAGATGAATCAGTATATATTTTTTTCTTTAAAGATATATATTTCCATTGCAGGTATTTCTTCCTTTCCAACATAAAACCAGAGTTTGATCTTCTCCCTGTTTTAATACCAAATGTATTTACCTGTTAAATATTGTAACTTAATCAGTTTTTATGATCTGAAGACCATTCTTTTTCTTGTTTGCTTTTTGTTCCCTCCCCCCCCCCCCCTTCAGAATTAGGATTAGAGTCCGTTTGCAAGAGCATTCCACCTACACAGGAAGAATTTTTCTGTTGTGCTCTACTGTACTGCAGTATTTGCTTCATAACTAGAAACAAGAAAACGTTCAGTCATATACTGTCAGTAAGAAAATGTATTAGACTTGATTATTATAACATATCACAACATGAAATAGATGGATTGTAACAATCACTTCCCTATCGTCCTTGAGTTATCACATTTTATTCTTATTCTAAAGTATAGTCTCCACGTAAGTCATATGTATGAAAGACTCTTACCTTTTACACCTCAGTTAAAGAAGAAGAAAGGCAGAGAAGGAAAATTAAATGTGCATAAAAATGAATTACATAAATCTGCAAATTGTGGAGCACTGGTATAGCTGAAAGAAATGCCAAGACATCATGCTGGAGTTCAGGGACTGCATCCCAGAAAAGATCTGGTGCACCAACTAAAAACTATTTGGCATCAAATGGCCCTATTTTTCTGACACAGCTGCAGCGTTTGATGGTCAAATTGAGATATCTTAAATAACTTTATGAAACTTTTTAATTTAAAAAAAAAAAAAAAATCAAGTTACATATCTCAATGTCTGATTAGCGAGAACAAGATGAAAACTTTGCACACAAGGTTCAATTCATTCCCTAATAAAGAAAGAGACATCTGTTCTCAAAAATCCAACAAATTCAAAAAGACTTTTAGGCATAAAATACTCCTGTACTGTCCCATGGCTCTCTGACATTAAGACCATCCTCACCCTCCAGAAACACTACTAAGAATAAAAGTCAGCTAATTTCACATTAAATATGGGAATTCCCCTTGGCTGTTAAGATAAACATCGAAACAAAAACATATCAAAAAGTATCTTGTCTTTTTAGGAAGACAGCCACACTGTGAAGAAGTGGAAGAATTGAAGAGGCTAGTAGAATACAACAGTAGTTTGGGAAGTAGGACCTTAGCATGCTATTAAATTCACAGAGTGAGATAATTGGTAGTTTACTGTAAGTGTATAGATGAAACAGAAGCCAACTGCAACTGGCTCAAAGAGCAATGAAACCAAACCTCACAATGACAATGCTAACTATACTTTGTAAAACATGATACAGACCAGCTATGGATGCACAGGCTGTTTATAATACATGAATACAGAGATACAGTTCACATACATAAATAAATAGGTTTGCCAGTTACCCTGAATACAAGGTTTAAAATGCACTGTAAAAACTTCTATTAAATTATCTATTAAATTAAAAAAAATAAATTTTGTTTAGTGTATTTATGAATTTTTTTTTTTACCCTGAGTTCACAAGTTATTGGTGTTAAAGTTGTCTGAAAATGCATTTACTGCTAACATACAATGGGAGATTTAAACTTAAATTTAAATGAATGCAATTGCTATAAGCAGCCAAGTTGTCAATGACCTCCAATGATCATGGGGAAGTTAATGCACAGGAAAGCATTACATCTGAAAACTAGCACACTTACTTATATTTTCTAGTAATACCTATTTTTTAATATATACATACATACACACACACACACACATATATTCTTTCATCATTAACACTCAGAAATTTTTCTTAAGCCATGAAAGAAAAAAAGAATAAAAAGAAAGAAAAGAAATAAAAATGCCTACTGGGGATTACTACAAGCCAAAAAGATCAGAACACCAGTATTAACTAGACTCATTCCTGGTCAATAATTTTCAAATGCATATTTTTGGTCCTCTTTTTATGCTAGAAGAAGGATCAAGGCAGTAAAGGAAATAAACGTCATAAATATTCACAGTGACTGGAATAGTCTAATGCAAAAGACGGAGGCAAACACACATTTTCTTCCATGCATTTCAAAGGATACTCCAATTTGAGAACAACAACAACATAAAAAATATAGTTCTTTTTCTTCTGCATTTCAGAAAACGGGACTGATCCACAGATAGCTTAAAAATGTATACCTGCACTTGTATTAACAAGGATATAAAGCAGCTGCTGTAATGCTTTAGAAGTAATAAAATCAGGACTCTTAGGAGGAGAAAAATAAGTAAGTCTAAGGAACATTTTGTGTATTATAAATACAACGTACAGCAGCAGGGAGTTGAATAAGCTATTTATTTCAACTCATTAGTATTGAATGGAGAACTAATTTGCAATTTGGCTTAAGTCCCTTCTTCTTCACTTCCCCGGTTATTCCTAACTTGCATTTAAAAAAATGCTTTACTGCATTTCCCAATACGGCATTCTTAAAACCAGCTAATTTTCTTTGAAAATACTTGAAGCTGAAGATTTTGCCTGAATGCTGTATTTATTTACTACACATATTTAAATAGCTGGCTGCTTGCAACATATTTAAGTTCGGCTTAAGTAAATTATGAAGAGCATAGATCTGTGCTGAAAAAAACCTGTATCTTAACATATTAAAAGCTATTTAGTCAAGAAGAAAGTAAGAGGTATAAAATCTACCCCCTCCTCAGACTTAAATGAAGTTACTAACAAAGAATGCAGTTTCTACACTGGGAAGCATGTTTCAGTGTTTGAGCAGTCCAGAAAACAATCCAAAGCAAAGCGCTTCAAGCAAAAAAAGCATCAGTGGATTTACTTCAAAAGCAATGGCTTTCCCTGAGAGCGAGTCACTGAAAAGCCCTTCAGTTCTCATTTTCTTTACATCTAACTATTGCAACACGTTCTATTCTTAACTACCTATCTCACACAGGTCAAGAATATCAACATGACAAGTCTGCTCTGTTGGCACTGAAGACACCATTAAGTGGCTCAGTTTTGCCACTTGGATTGAAAGCAGAACAAATTGTTGAAAAAGTGGCTTTTAGGAATGGATAATGGAAAAGAAATACAATATATGGCCAACTATTAAAAAAAAAAAGACAAAAATCCACTAACATTTACATGTTCCTTAAGTATTTTCATCAAAAACAACAATAAATGACCCACTGACATCAAGAACCCAACACAGAATCAAAGTTGAACTCCCTCAGCCCATCAAATCTCACTTCCTAAGGTGGCTCCACATCCTTTTAAATTCCTTGAGTTATTTGTGTCTCTTAAAAGTTTGCAGGTAATTTTTCTTGATGGAAATTGTATGATCTGAAGTCTATGATATTTCCAAAACATGAGAAGATCCCAATATCAAAGCTCACCATTTATT